TCCATGGACCAAATTACCTCGAAAAACTGTGTCATTGTGGTGTGGGGATCGCTGCTGATCGGGGTCATAAAGTTCCTTTTTGTTGCAACTTGCTGAGCTCTCGGAAAACTGCTCCTGTAATCAGCCCCCAAAGAAGGTTGGACGCGGTCCGAAATGCATCTCGGTAGGAGTAATCAACCAATCACATAGCCTCGTTTATTCATTGCTCGTTTAGAACGGACTAAACACACGCAAGAATGAAGAGTTTATATTTGCGTTTATTTCAAGATACGCAATATTTTTGTTACAACAAAATAGTCGAAATGAAAGGTAAGTTCCTAAAATGACCTTTCATTGTTTTTTCTTGCATGCAGCCATTATCATTGATTTCGCCATGTTTAATTTCGCCGCGGCTGTCCAATATTGCCGCCATTACCCACGTTGTGTATTCACCTAACACGTTCGATTTCACTGCAAATATCCTGAGGGTGCTCGTTTGTATTGTAAACATGGTTGTGATAAATCATGATGTGCTTGTCGCCAAACCTCTTCTCTGCCACACCGTAAGCTTCATGGAAAATTCCAAGAGTCTCGATCTAGTGTTCGAGCTGTTTTGATGCCAAAAATTGCCAGCATCTGATCAGCAATGATGCAAGGTACAGTGTTGTTAGGGCACCACTCACACGGGCGCGGCTGTTATGCCCTGGCCACTGTTAAAGGGTTGTGGATAATGTCCAGCGACCTGTTCTAAATCGTCTGACCAGCAGTTCTGCTAATAACATGTGCACGGTTATCCAAGGTTATGATCAAGTTATTAAAATATAAACGCTGAACGTCGAAAGAGTATACAACAATTTCAGTTACCGTAAGAGGTAACTGTGAAAATATGAGCCTGATAGACCCAATAGTGTCGGAGAAAAATCATTTAAAACTCAAAACTTTAGCAAAGAATGTGTGGGCTCATTAACGTGTTTGCCACCCAGCCATTTCGCAGTTTTCGATGCTTGCTATTTTCTTGTTATTGCTCAAATAACATAAAAATTGCACAAATTGACCAACTCTATCACCTTTTGATGAATTTAACTTGTGTGTACGATTGCGCCTTCTATTGGTTACTTCGTATGCTAATGCCGGAGCAAAAATGTAAACAATGACTTGTCGACTGCTTTTTGTTTTAGTGAATGGTAAGATAAACAAGAAGCTAAATTGACCGCTCCAGAAAATACCATAACATACCCCAATGTTCTTTGTTTGTCACCCCAAATTCTGCATAAGCATTGTTTTCAGTTTCTCTTGGGGCCATTTTAACTCCCAAGAGAAACTGAAGACAAGGCTTATGCAAAATTTTTTAGTGACAAATAAAGAGCATTATGGTATGTTATGGTATTTCTGGAGCGGCCAATTGCATTGCTGTATAAATAATATCACATAAATAAAGAAAACTCGCTATGGCAGTTATATGTTCACCGGCGAAGCCAGGACAGCGCTCTACTTGCAGTGAAGGAGCGGAATAGACCAGTAGATGAACTACTCAAATATATATATAACATTCTTTCTAAGTTTCTTCATGAAAATAGCAATAGATTATCGTGTTTTTTTACACACCGGTGAGAAAAAGGTTTGCAAAACTTTGAAAGCTCAAACAAATGTGTAAAACTAAACAGAAGCAAACTTTAAACCTGAACCATGGTGTCGATACAAACATGCACCACATCAAGTATTTACTCAGACATAATTTTTATTTCTTCTTGTCTCGATAATATATCCATTCGGTAGGAATTTAAAAAGGGTGGGGGCTTAGATTTTGGCGCCTTAGACCACTGGGGCTAATTTGATTAGGGCTTCTAGATGGATGTAGAGGGTGGGCACCATTGCTACTAAATAGAAGAAATAGAGGCATTGCAATTTTCATTTTTAGTCTGAAGATCGATAGTCAAGATAGTCTCGCTAATGATGCAAGTAAGATTGCACACATAACCATTGCGTCTCAATATTAGCCGATAGCAATGATATCTCAAATGCAAATTCTTAGCTGGAGATCCTAAGACTTTGAGCTTAAGGCCCAGTTCAAACGTCGAACTTGTCATTGACTCAACGTGAGAAACTCAAGGGGTTGAAACATACAACTCTCAAATGATGGCTTTGTTTGTTGCTCGTGAATTTTCATTTTCGCAAGTACTATGTTTGGAACGAGAAGGAAAGATAAAAACGTGGCGTAATTTTTACTCCACGTTCCCGGGAGGGAACCTGAGGGAGCTCAAGCAACAATGACGGCGACAGTTACAATTACGTCACTAACGTGGCTCGATACAATATCTCCTTCATCTTTCGCTTGGTGAATTCATTTGTCCATGACGGTTGAGACGGCCATTTGGAATTTTTCTTTCTCTCCCAAGGATATGTCTTTTCATTTCTTCCTCCTGTTTTATCGCCTCCACGATATCGCCTCTCTGCTCTCTTTCCTCTAATATATAGACTTAGCCAGGGCTAAAAGCGAAGCTCTCGTTAAAATCTATAGTTAAATGAACAAAATATAAAATCGTGTAGTGCTAACCAAGCGCCGACCGCAACGAAAATAGCGGAAAAAAAACAATAGGTGTAATTAGCAAAAAACAACTTTGTACATTTCTTTGCCGTCGTTTTGGGGACCGTTCATTTTTTATGGGGTGGGGGGCTGGTGGGATTTGGAGGAGTGTAATCTGAAAATTGCATGACCCCCCAATTTCCGATTTTTTCGCTGCCCCCCCCCTCATCAGAGTAATTTTTGGAAGCCCCCCATGAATAAAAAAATACATAAGGTATTGAAAAAGCTAATAAATCAAAGGGCAGAAAACGCAAACGGTTTGAAAACAACGTCCTACGCGTGTATCATATCTGCGTTGCAAATCCCCTTGCAAAAGAGCTTCCCAATTGTCTTCTTTATCCTCCCTCCATGACAATTCCGGAAGCGTGCATAAACGTTGAAGATGTAGCAGCATTGTTGCTAACACGGGATGCAGCATTCATCGCTCACCTACTGCAATCAAGCTACTTCAGCAACGCGGCACAAAGCAGGCTTATAGGACAATTGCACGATGACGTCATTTTACTACAACTACCAGAATCCTTTAGTTTGTTGTTTTCTTGTGCAAATTAGAGCTATTGTTCTGTAATCCTCAGCGGCATTGACAAATTTAAATAAGAAAGCAAAAACGAAATGAATTCTGGTAGTTGTAGTCAAATGTCGTCATCGTGAAAATGGCCTATTACCAACCTTAAGCCAGAAGTAAGAAACAGGATGTATTGCTTCCTGCATCCTGCAGATTATAGCTCAAACGTCGAAGACAAGAACAAAGAGGAGGAAGAAAACGACGAAGAAGAGGAAGACAACGAAGAAGAACAGGAGGAAGAAGAAGAGGAACACAGCGACGACGAGATCGAAGAGAACGTCGAAAATCAGGAAGGGGACACCTCGTAGTAGTTTCATGCCGCCCTCCCATTAAATTTCTCTGAGAAAAGTTCTGGTAACGAGGTCAGTTCCAATTCAGGACTCAAATTATTGGTTTTAATTATATGAGCTTGACAACAACATTTTTGTGAATGAAAAGAAAGTTTTTGCTATTCAAGACTGTTATTATGGTATGTTCACTGTCCTTATAAAATATAAAAGCTGTTGAGAAGTTTTCTTGTTACCCTGGAACTGTGTTAGCATATTTGTTATAAACAAAAGAGCACAATTTTTCTTCCATTTGTAAAAATCTCTTATCCCATTTTTGATCTAATTTTTTCGTCCGAACCCCCCCGCTTTCCTTCATTTTTTTTCGGCTGGCCCCCCCTTTCAAGCCAATTTTTTTCGAGTGGCCCCCCCAAATCCCACCAGCCCCCCCACCTCATAAAAAATGAACTGTCCCTTGCAAAACGGCAAAGTGAAACTTCTAGAAACTTCCTAGTTACACGTTTTATTTAGGAAATGTTGTATGTTGTCCAGTTCACTTTTTTTGGCGCTGCCGCTCATTTTTACCTTGGTGGCCGCTAGCATTTCTCATTTTCTCACAGCCGCTATAAAATTTTCATGTTATTCTTCAAACGAAATTGGTCTCCTTTGTTTTTTTTTTTTATTTCTGGCTCTAGCTCTTTCTCTGTTAGCCACGCCAATGAAGACTTTAAAATTAAGTCGAAAGAAAGAATCGGCTTCCTTGTTGTTATTTTTTATCTCTAAAAGTCCGGGCAGCTGTGCGATTTACTGCCGAAACGCGCGGGTACTTGAAATGCAAAATTTCACCCCGGCTTACATGAAGGGGTGGACGTACGTACGGACGATTTTCTCAGAAGCAAAATTTCTTGGATGTATAGTTTACCAAATTTTCTTACCTATGGTGCTCCGCTGCGCGCTCGAGAGCGCCGCTATTACATTTTCAAGAGGTTATTTTTTATCGGCGGTCCCCAGTCTTCGTTACCCAACGCGCTTAAATTAAAGTTCAGTACGTTCGTCTTCCGTAGTACTAAAGGCACCACTCATGCGACCATACAATCGCTGGCCATATACGTTCTAATCACTCTCTTTACTTTCCAGAAGTTCTTTCCACATTGCTTCCGTCTCCTTTCTATCCTTCAACGCTATCAGTTCTTTCTTCCGTGTCCTGCAACCTTCACTGTTAATTTTAGTTATTATTTGGCTCTGTGAATTTAGAACTTGGAACAAACATCCAATTCTGTCAACATCAGGGTATTATTCGGATTTTTCGGTTTTAAGGAAATATGCATGATGACATTCACTTCAAGAGATTTTATTATAAGAAAAACTGGAATCACTACTACCTGCACACTGATTTTTTAGAACAAGAGGAATAATTTGCATTATCTCGCGGCCTATCTCCGTGCAACTCGCTTTTATTTATACAGCTTCTCTTTGTATACCATAAACGTTACGTTAAACTATCTCGTTATTTACGTCACGATATATTTAAATTTCTTAATCTACTTTCACATGGTCCGCCTTTAACTCTTTTGGTCGATATTGGTCAGTAATAAGCCTGGACTAGAGAGGACGTTTCTGGCAAAAAATATGCGAAATATTGTCACGATCATAATTAATTTCTCGACAGATTAAGGATACAAGCTTTCTTTTACTTCATAAGAACTCACCATTTGCGAGGTCTGCCTATTTCCAGGACATTGCAAGCATAATTATAGCCAATACAATCAAGAGTACAATAGGGCTATTTATACGAGGTAAAATAAGACGCGTCTTACATAAGACGCGAACTGTACCATTTATTCGAGCATGTCTTATCTAATAAGACGCGTCTTAGCTAAGCCGCGCCTTATTTTAGACGAAATGTGCCGTTTATACGGAAAGTTCGCGTCTTATTTAAGACGCGTCTTATGTAAGACGCGTCTTATTTTTCCTCGTATAAATGGCCCTAATGTCTCCTCTATTTATTCACGACTAAGACAGTCAAGACGGTAATGGGTACGGCTCGAACTAAGACTTACTTAAGTGTTAACTGACGAGGTCTTAACTACCGTCCATAAAGACGCACATAGTTCAACATAGTATCAAAAGAATACAACAATGTACATATAAACAATCCTGAATCAAGTCACCGAGACTAAACTGGCTGTGTGCGCCGCCTAATGTGAAAATCTTAAAAAAAAACTCGGTAAGAACCCAACGGGGAAAATGCTTGGAAAGAGTCCCTCAACCATACCCTGAGCAACAGAAGTGACGGCACGAAGCTCTTCCTCCTTAAACAATTCACGTTCAATTCCATGCTATGGTATCGTATATTGTGTGTTTGGTGAACCTGACCCTATCTATTATCTATTAATCTGACTCCTATTGCTGCTTAGTTATATCTTTCTAGTCCGATATGGTTATTTTCCGTCAGCCTGTGCTCCTCTATATTTTTGTTGATACTTTCTTATCCATTTCCACTAAAGGTGATGTCGTCGTTGCCGTGCTCTTTTAATTATTTGTGCTCATAGGTTACTTATCTCTGTCGATTAGCTCCGTCTTTTGAAGCCTCGGAAGACAAGACAAATTTTCATCCATTTTAGCCTGTGTATAATCATCTAAGAACAAGAAGGGAAAGTCTTCCTCTTCATGAAGTATTGTCTCACCTCTAGTAACAAAAGTCCGTTTCAATTCCAGCATCACTGAAATGAGATCCATTGTCTGCCAGCGCTTGTTCAGAAGCTCCGGCAATGTGGCTAGAACAATCCTCCTTGGTAAATACAGTTGAAGAGTTTCGCGGGGAATTTCTTCCTTTTCCATCACAATCAAAGAACTGTTGGTTATCACCAACTTCGTTTCTGGAATCAGAGCCAACTTTTCTCTTAAGCAACTTCGTATCAGTGTCATAAATTTTGCACCATCAGTGAGCGAGCGCTTGAAACTGTTCACAATAAGTATGACCGAAAGGACTGACTCCTTACCTGCAATAAGAAAACATACTTTAGCAACGACAGTGCATGTGACTAGTGTCACCATCTCTGAATCACCTTACCCATGTCTGCTACATTCTACATAAACTGTTTTTACTCTTGTTTGGCATGGAAAAGGTAGGATTCTATTACCTATTTTCATTCTAAGACTTCCATCTGACCTATCAGGTGATTTAGCGTGCGTAGCAGTCGTTTTCGGGGGATACATGCCACGTTTGGCTTAAGCCGGCGTGCCCATTTGTTCCCAGGCATTTGTCGGGCATTTCTCAAGTTATGGGTTGACATGGTGCAATTTGATTAAAACACCACATGAGTACATAAGGGTAACATAAGAGTAACACACGGGTACGTAAAATACATTCGAAATTTTTAGTACTAGTTAACTAACCATCATCTATTAATTATCAATGGTTTATCCACGATCAGAAGAAAAGGAGCGCTATTGCTCGCAATTGTACAGGCCAGGGTACAGGAAGCCGTTAAGCCGGTTTTTCAATGAATTTGGAGTAATTCGTACCATTCCCATTTCATATTTTATCGTATTAAGCGCCGCTGCTCAAAAAAGATACAACATCGTGGATCGTATTATATTGTCGTGTTGTGGAGTCAAGTAACTTCAATGCGTCAGCTGTAAAATACGCTCCGTTTGTTTGGAGGTGTTGTTGACAGCAGAAGAGACAATACTTGTGTTTGAAAAAAATTCCTTGATCTTTTTTTAAAAAAGACCAAAAAATAGTGCAGTCGAACCTCTCTAATACGGACACCGAAGGGACAGAGCGAAGTGTCCGTATTAGAGAGGTGTCCGTATAAAAGAGGTCACTATGATGACGTCACTTTTATACCTTTTTATGTTCAGTAGCAAAAACGGATCTTGTTTACTGTGGGTAATGTCGACCGAGAGATATCGGTCGATATAGCGGTCGACACTCGGTCGATAGTCGGTCGACACTCGGTCGACACTCGGTCGAAACTTGGTCGACACTCGGTCGATAGTCGGTCGACACTCGGTCGACAGTCGGTCGATATAGCGGTCGATAGTCGGTCGATAGTCGGTCGATAGTGGGTCGACACTCGGTCGAGACTCGGCCGATATAGCTTTTCGTTCACCGACACTTCGCCGACATTTCGCCGACACTTTGCCGATACTTGGTCGATAGTTGGTCGATACTTGACCGATGTGTCGGTCAGTAATTGGTCGACACTCGGTCGATGGTCGGTCGACACTTAGCATTTCCTACATTTTCCTACATTTTTGCGGGACCACAGGAGCAGCAGATTCAACTTAGGCTGAGACAGGTTCTGTTTAACAGCTAAAACTCAGACGATCGGTGATGATACAAACTGGAAAAAAAAGGTTATCATGTCCTTAGTTCCCAGTGCTCTTCGGTTCTCTTCATAGCGTAATCGCGCCTTGCTTTGCCACATGTTCCCCATCGCATGATAACAGTAATTAATGACGTCTTTGCTTAAAAAAAAAGCCATTGGACTCACCTGATAAATTAACACACGACTAATATTCGAACGACAGTTGACCGATATACCACCGACAGTTGACCGATATACCACCGACAGTTCACCGATATACCACCGACAGTTGACTGATATACCACCGACAGTTGACCGATATATCACCGACAGTTGACCGATATATCACCGACATATGACCGATAGTAAGTCGAGGTGCGTCGACGGAATATCGACCGATACTCGGCCGATAGTCTATCTCACTATCGACCGACTATCGACCCACTATCGACCGACCATCGACCGACTATCGACCGACTATCGACTGACTATCGACCAACTATCGACCGACTATCGACCGACTATCGACCAACTATCGACCGACTGTCGACCGACTATCGACCGACTGTCGACCGCTATATCGACCGACTGTCGACCGCTATATCGACCGCTATGTCGACCGATATCTCAGTCGACATTACCCACAGTAAACAAGATCCGCAAAAACCAGGTTCACACTCGTCTTTAAACTGCATTTAAATTTATTAATTTACAGTACAAAGACACTGTCTTTCAATGGCATAACATTGTATATCTCAGCTACAAAGTAAGTACAAGTTAGACAATTCACTGTTTTAAAACGAAACGAGCTACAGCGCAATGCTGCATGTAAAAAGTTGTAAAGTAAAGCACAATTTTGAAAGCGTCGTCTTTCACCATTTTGCAAGTGTAAAAAGTAACTAGAGTACAAAATATATAGAAAAGATCTTTATGCTATCTGTACTTATTCAAGCCTTAAAAAAGCCGGTTATGTTTCTCTGTACACCTTTCGAAATCGTTGTATAGACAGCGACTGGCTTTTATTTAAAATCACTTTGCATAGCTCATCAGCCAGACGGATTCACCCTATCCCCCTTTGCAGATTCACCTGATCGGGATTCGGTATTCACTTGATCATCGTAGTGTCCGTAATAAAGAGGTTACGTTTATTAATTGGGCGTCGCCCAAATAGAGCAATCGAGTTCGCTTGTTTTGATTCAAAGTTGCAATAGACACGCAATACGTGCGAACGTGAACGAGCCAAGCGACGCGAATGTCTGCCGCACTCTGTGTCACAACACAGCATTTATCTTCGTTACATACATACAGATAACGCACGGCAATAGAAAACAAACTTTTTGGAAAAACAAAGTACACTGAGTGAAACAAACTATTAGATAATTTAAATTTTCTCTTTGGAAAATAATCGTCCTCGCAGCACACGGTGTGAATGGTTTGGCTCATTGCCAAGAGTCTGACAACATTGTTGCTCTCAGTTGTCTAGCGCCAAAGAAGATGTCACGCAAATTCAATGATCTTGTGAGAGATCTCGTGAGATAATTGAGGGTAACATTGAATGATCTATAATATCACTGCATATTTTCGGAAAGAAGGTGATTTCTTGAAATCTTGTAGAGCAAAATGACCTCGTAAACACATTGCATTCTTTCACGGTCGAACCGTAAAAGGGGCAGAGTCCAACGTAACATCTTCACGTGCAAACCTCGCTCTATTTTTAAAACCCTTGGGTTAATTAGACTACTTAAGTGGCATTCTCTCGTACACGAACCACGAAAGCGGCAAATTCCAAAGCTTTCACTTGCAAACTGCGTAACAATACAACTCACAGTAAGGGCCTGATCACATGAGCCGGGGAAGCGATGCGCATGAACAGTGGGTTACCTGTTGTCCTGCTTCTCTCTTGGTTCATTCGCCGGGCCGCCAGGCAAGTTTGATTACTTGGAAAATTTCCACCTGGTATCCCGGCATCACAATACAGTGAAATCTGTATTAAGCGGACACCCTCGGGGAATGATGTAGTGTCCGCTTAATACAGGGTGTCCGCCTAATACAGAGGGAGGGAGTCCGTATTATAGAGGTTTTTTTTTTAAAGAAAATATATGAGCATTTTGTTGGGACATCACTGTCCGTAACAAAGAGGTTCGACTGTAATGTTAAGTAAAGATCACGACAAAACACGCAAGTCTATTGCCTCCGGATTTTCCCGGACTTTTTAAATTGCTTCCAAAACAGAGGGTAAAGCAGAGGTCACTGCGTGCAGTTGAAACGATATTAAGGGCCAAATTACCCTTGAAAGTTAATATTCTACAGCAAAGAACAGTTGCTTTGCTGCTATGAAGAACTTCGATTAAAAACCTCGAGAAAAGAAAGATCAAATTGAAGACTTTCGCTTTGGAAGTATTGGAAGGATTCCCGAATTGTTCGACAAAAAATTTGAACAAAGAACCGTCGCATTTAGCGTTTTTTACGGCGCTGGATCCGACCGAATATTGGGAATGATAAGAGAGTGAGTGTACCTGTTTTTACAAACCGTAAAATACTACAAGAAGCAAAACACGCCAGAGTGACGCGGAGTGAAAGAGTAACATCGTATTAGGTCGGCAAGGCTTACATTAGGTTTTCTCTTCGTCGCTGCGTGCGGTCTCAATAAAAAATCCTAAAGATCGGACCAGAGACAATTCTCACTGAACACAGGTAAAAGCAAGTATACTTCAGTCTTAAAAGACAGCCATTTCTCGTCCGGTAACACTGCAGTTCCTGTGACCAGTCAGACCTCATGCATTGAGCAATGTTATAATACAGAAATAATTTTTCTTGGGGGGATAAATTGTATATAGTATATAGTTAAATTTTTTGAGGCCCCTGCGTGTGATTCTGTACCTTCCAGTTACATTTCAATTCTAGTAATTTTTATAGACACTACTCAAGACATGTATAAATTCATTGGCAAAATGTGAAATGGCAATGGCTTACAAGGGCTCACTTGTTGAGCTGCCTCTTTTTGGAACTTTTTGGGTCTACGAGCATGTTTATAAGGGACTGTGCAATAATTATCAGGAGGGGGGGCTGAAAAACTAGAGGGGGGCATTAAATAAAATTGCTGCTAAGATAGGGGGGGATCAAAGTAAAATCACTCATTTGACGGAGGGGGGGCCTTAAGTTTTATTCGAAATGTAAATAAAGTTAAACGCAATAAAAGATTCTCAATACAGGCATCATGATAGACTGTAACAAATATCCCTGCAAATTGGTTTCTGATCTTAGTAATACAGCAGCCTTACCACGCGGGTATATTCCATCCAATGTGACCAGTTTGAGTTCTTGCCTGCAATGATCCTCTACAATACAGAAGCCGGTAGAATTAAACAGAGAATCCTTTGCTCTCGAAAATTTATAGTCATCTTTGGTTGAGCGACCTGCTGTTTATCGAACAATTGCCTGCACTTGCTGAGTTTCGGCTCCTTAAGTTTAGCTTCAGGGCATGACAGAAATGCTGCATCCTTTCCTTACTAAGTTTAGGCAGATTCTCCGAGGGAATATTGATCAATATTTCTTCGAAAAAGAATGCTTTCGTTCGAGTTTTTACTCTGACTATCCTCTGACTATCCGTCATTTTGAAACTAGACTTTTTAAAAAGTCCGGGAAATTCGGTAGTGCCAGGCTCCCGCGCGGAATGAAATTAGGCAATGGCCCTGTCAGGTTCGCCACACACAAAGATCTCACACACAAATGTTTTGTACTTCCTCTACTTTCTGCCGTCCTGTGAGTTAAGGGAGGTTGTGGGGGGAGCGCCCGAGCCCTTCCTTGGATTCTCCGTTCGGCTTTGTCAGAACAGAATTAATCAAAAAAGGAATCAATACTTAAGAGCTGATAGATTTGCGTTGACTAACCTTCATCATTTGCGTGTGCATGTTCTATCCATTTGTCGATGCCATCTGAAACAGTCACTTTAAATTTCTCATTCTCTTCCTTTAGTTCTTTCTCCTTTTGTTTTATCTCCTCGATAACTGGAATTCTTTTTTTGGTCCACTGCTCCCTTTTTTCTACCAGCTCTTTTAGTTCTTTTTTCATCTCTGGTTCCTCTTTGTGGAAAAGGCTTAACAGCTGTTCATTCGTGTCCGGGATGAATCTTTCTCTTGACCACCAGATCATTCTCCGTTCACCACCATACCAACTACTTGGTATCTTCTTTTCTAGAAGATCTTTAAGCATCGCTTCTCTACTTTCTGCTATCACGACTTCGTCTTCTTTCTTACGCTGGCTTTCTCTCAACTTTGCTAGATCCTCAAGTAATTCCCCTGGTGGCTTTGTCCTCAAAGTAGTTACTTGGCTCCGTGGATTCAGACCTTTAAAAAATGATCCGATCCTTTCTGCATCATCATCTCTAGCAGCACTGTCAGAGTACTCGATAATCAAGACTTGTGCTTTACTGTAAAATTTCGTAGGGCGATCACTGACATTGGGTAACTTTTCTATTTCTTTCAGTGAAAGAGCAGGACGAAGTGTGCGTGGCTTTGTTACTTTCTCCAGCAACTCCACTAAGTCATACAATCGCAGTGCTTCAAAAACGTCTTTCAGTAGCTTGACAGGAGTGTCAGGAAAAAATTCTCCAATGTTCCTCAATCCTCTTGCGCTCAGTTTCTTAGAATCAAGCCCGAATGACTGGTAAAATCTTTCTAGTGTCACTGGGTCGCTTCGAAGTTTGGACGTCAATTCTGCGGTCACGTCTTCACTAAGATCGTTCAAGCACAATTTGGAAGGGGAGTCTGCAAAGTCAAGCCAAAAATCAATACAGAATATTAATCTCACTTTTCTTGCTTACATTTATAACAACTTAATTTAAAAAAAAACAATTATGACAAGTAGATTTAACTGGTTTAAATGATTTTTTGTTTACATTTCTTTGAGAGTATTTGTGACTTAACCGCAAAAGCTAGAAAGTTAGCAAAACCTCGTGCCATAAACTACAGGCAAAAATCGTGATGCAAGGGGCAGCAAAAACTACAAGAGTATACTGTTTGCGCTCGTTAACTCAGCAGAAATGGAGTCACTTATACGTGAAGTCTTAATTATGAACTAAAATCTCTAAGGGGTGCGCAAAATTTCCAAAAAAAAAGAGCTCTCTTAATACGTCTTACTCAGCACCGGTTGTATTATTCACGAACACGTAGAGATCAACACACCCGTTTTTGTTTTCTTCTTTACAAGCCAGGGCACCATGCGTCACGTGATACAAATCAGCCAAGCAAAACTTAGGCTGGCGAGATGAACGTTTAAATTTGAAAGAGGACGAACAATGGCCTATCTACAGGCGTTATATTTTCTTTTCTCTCCCTTCGCGCTTTGCGCTCGCGCCCCCAACCACCTCCCCCCTCCCTGCTGCCTTAGCGCGCCCAATAAACAACGCCGCCTGTTGTGCGGACTAGCGAAACACACAAATTAACTCACAAAAAAGACAAAGCGCTGCAAGCGGAGTAAGCCAAGCCCGCCCAAGAGAAATTTAAGCGGCTCCCAGGCTTCAATCTTTCGGGGGAACTGATTCACTAGGTTTGTACAAAAATATTGTAAGTTTACCGTTGGTTTCCTCCGTTCCAACTTCAGATGGTGCACTACTCGATCCCGGCTTTCCACTGTCGCTTTCTTCCATCACGCTGTGTGCATCCAAATCCTTGGTTTGGTCTCCTGCTCGTTCTAAATAATTCTGGATGTACTCGTATTTTTCCTGCTCTAAGTATTTATGGTGCCTCTCTTCCTTGCCTTTAGGATCATCTAAAATATGGTGCGAAAATAATAGAGTAAATGCAAATCATACTTCGGCTGAGGTTCAAAAGAAATGAAAATGGAAAAAACGATACCATGAGCAAGTAACGATTGAAATAATTCATTATCAAATTTTAACTGTCATGTTTTTAATGTAGTTTTTCCATTTCCTCAGCAACTACTATCAAGAATTAATTTTATGCAGTACTTAGTTTTTTGGTTATTTCCTGTAAATCAGTCACAAAGTTTTGGATAAGATGTAAACTGTGCGTGAAACTGCCATAATTAGATCTTCCAACTCAGTTCAGTCTAGCCTTTTTTGTTGTTTTTGTTTTGCATTATTTATGAAACGAATATGTTAGTCATCAGGCATTACGACCAGGAAAGAACGGCTGCACTTTAAGTTAACTTGTGGATAGCTTTGTTCTTTTCACGTGGCCCAAAACAAAAATAATAATAATTATAAAAGTAAATTATAATTATCCCAAAAAAATTATCCCAGAATCCTTTGAGGCAATTTTTTTCAAAGCTTTATGACTTTGACAATTTTACACGTAGAAGACTGTCAGATCACGACAAGATAACATTTGCCATAAAATATCTTCCCATGTCACATCTAAGGTAATGACGTCGTCAGTCACGTGACTATTCCCGAATTAGGTTTTTTTGTTGCTGTGACAAGATTTCATTAACGAGTTAAAAACAAATAGCATATTTGAGGTTTTGGTTGTGTGGGGCATTTAAAAATAACCAGTTGTCGTCCGGCATAATTTAAGGGGGTAATGAACAGGACCAAAAGAGGGACATGACGTCATCAGTCACGTGATCAAAGCGTTTTGAATGTTTTAGTTCGCTTTTAAAGTACCTTTTTGTCATAAATTGGCAAGTTTTTGCTGTTTTTCTCAACAATTCTTTACACTGTATTGTCTCTTGCTTGTTTGGGGCTGAGTCTTATTCCGGTCAAAGAGAGAGAAAGTGTCTGGCAAGGTTTCCAATCAAAGATTTGTGTCTGGCAAACTCTCCAAGTGTTCATATGTACACAGTTGTACGCACCTTATAACTTCATCTGCGCTTAACGAGTGTCTTTTGGTCCATAACTTTCAAAACAAGTGCTCCCCAGAATGTCACTTATAACACGTAACGCAAAAGAGTATCGAAGTATGACTGCACAATAAATGTCACAAAATCTACCTATTGTAAGCCGTCCCTTCGGGATTTTCTGTCTTTACGTCATCCTGACCATTTCGTACTTGCGGGCGCAAACAATAGAAACGTCATCATTACCTACCGATTCCTCGCAGCCCCTGTTCAAGCAAATCGAGATTTTTTCTGGCATACTGACTGTATATTTCATCTGTAGGTACTTTCCTTAATATACGCGCGAGTTACTAGAGTGCCTCCTCGGAATTTCGCCTTCTGGGCGAAATCCCTGCGGGGGCAATTATTCCATTTTCAAAGCTGAACCAAACGAAAACAGAGCCAGAAGTTTAAAAGTTGCGTAAATTGACCGAAATTGCAAGTTGAAATCGAAAAGGACACCTACTCTTGAGAACTTAACTTAACTTAAACTTAACTGTTTGTTTGCCGAAATAAATGTTCAACGTTTGTTAATAAAGGAGAACTTTAAAGACTAAAAGGATGTACTCCGGGGAGAGAGTTCATGTAGCAGCTGCTCTAACCCTAAAAGCCAAATGGTTTGCTACCCTAACCTAAAACAATGGAACTAATGATGAACAATGTTGTGTTAATGTTTTCTCCGACCAATGAAGTCACCTTATGAGCAGAGAAAGAATCGTACGGTCATACGGTTCAGTCGATAGCCGCGCGATCGATAGTTCATTAATTTCTTAAACGTTCCCCGGCATAGACCAAGCCTGAATGAGTATTAATGGGTTTATTGTGAGTTTTACGTCTAGCTTCGATCAGTTAAAGATTTAATTCTACACGGAAATTGAAAAAAAAAAGAAAAGAAAAAAGTCATCCTTGAAAACTGCCAATCACCATAGAGTAGGAATATATACCTCTTTTAAACTCAAATAGCACGCATTTACCGAGGTGATCCAGTGAATAGAGGCGTTAACTTTTAGTTCCAACTGATTCTTAGGGTCCAGGTTGGAATCCCCTTGGGGCAAATTTTTCGTAAACTTATTTTTTTTTCTTTTTTTTAAATCTCTTTTTACTCTCATTTTGCCTGTGTGGTGCATATAGCTAGTAACAAAATGTGCCAAATTGAAAGCAAAGTTTGCAGGAATATAAAAAAAGCGGTGTGTATAATAGTGTATCTACAGCTGGTATCTACCGGTATTTTTAGTAATAATGGACACTGTTATCATTACCCAGCTCAATCGTCAATTTTCACATGTGCCTAATTTAATTCGAGAGAATTGCTTGCCGGGACGTCTGAATCAACTAAATTTGACAGTTTCAAATTAAATACGACTTTGTCGAATTTGCGACTGAAACATTCGAAAATTCGACTTAGGTTCAACATAACATTTAGAAGTCGCATTTCACATGTGCCGAATATATTACAATTATTCACCGAAACGGAGGTGGCTGGTGGTAGGTAGGTGTTTACCGAGAACGCAAAGCCACCTCACCTCCACTTCGGTGAATAATTGTTTTAGTATATACTAAATCAGTGAGATAATTGAGCACAAAAATGATGAGTTTTAACTCATTTACTGTTGCCAACGATTACGATTTTGGCGCGCAATGACCGAACGGCCGCGGTCGTCGTCGCCGCGGTCTTACATGATGTACATACTATCAAAATTCGAAATCATCGTTTTTATGCTAGAAATAGTCTTTGTCAATGACTAAATACGTGCTAAAATGCCCCAGAAACCGTACTGCGAATAAGAAAAATTGAAGTTTTGACCTAAAAATGGGCTAAATCTCAAACTAAGTCTGTTTTAGTTTTCACTAAGTATTCAATATTTATAGTGGACGTAAAAAGCGGGAGATTTATGTACCAAAGCGGGAGAGCGGGAGAGGAGGCAAAAACGCATAAGTCTCCCGCCAAAAGCGGGAGAGTTGGCATCATTCGCATTTTGCTCTTAACTTACGCGAGTTTGGCGTCGCTCGCTCGAAGGAACTAGTGCAGGATATTCTCTGATTGAGTAGCCAATTAGATGGCGCGAAAAACACTATTCACTGTTTTAGTATATACTAAAATGCATTAATTATAGAAACCCTTATCCACGTTGGATAAAAAAAATTTCTAGAGACTGGGAATATTTACAACAATCGGAGTTAAATTCAGCGGCACCAATCATATCCGACGTCTGAATCAACTGCCGTATTTAATTTACTTTCATCGACAAAAATAGGTGTTCGGCACTCATAAGAAATTCCACTTTTGAAAGGGGCCTAAAATGACGTAAGTTTCAGCTTAGTGGTTTGCAGGCTCTTATTAAGTTGTTGTTTTCTTTTCAGTAAGAGCAATTCGTATCTCTCTTTGTGAATCCATTTTATTAATCGGCTTGTGCCGCGACTTAAGAATCAGCTGTAATATTTGATTTTACTTTCTCTTTGACGTGATTTGCACGTCACTGAACATGTCAGAGTTGTATATCAAAAAGAGCGATCAATTTGCATTCAACCATTTCAATAAAAGCAAATGGAATCACTTCTCACTATAGCATACAACCTCGAACCGTGACTTCGTCGTATAAATAAGCGGCACCGAAGAAAGACGAAAAAGCTAACCCTTCCGCTTGATCAAATTATTTTAAGGTTTACTAAAAGCCTCGAAGCTTAATATAGTGTAAAATCATTATAATTTACTTTTACCAATATCACTTGTAATGACAATGATAATAATAATAATAATAATATCCTTGAATGGTCAGCGCCAGTTATGGACACTTTAATTTTTCCGCAGTCCCGAGGGTGTCAGCTTTCACTTTATTACCTTTTTTACCATTTAAAACTTTTGTGTATTTTGCTTTCGCGAAGGAAACGAGCGAACGACTCTTTCTGTTACCGTTTCCGGTATAAACCCCGGGGTATAAACATGCTGGTGTCTTATCAGTCCCAGAAAGTGTCTTGAATAACCTGATCCCGCGGCTATAGGCACGACCTTTTTTGGCCCCACCCGGACCGGTATACTCACTTTCAATACAGAGAGACTGATGGGAAACGAAACACTTTACGGGAATGGCCTAAAAGAAATTTAGCTGTTATCCCGGTTAGTATAATCAGAGAGTTTTACAATCACGTTTGCAAAATTAGCCGTACGTAGTTTACCTTGTGTTTCATTAGACAACTTGTCGCTGGCTTTATCATATTCTTGTTCGTCGATGGTTACAATCGCTTCGACTTGTTCTCCACCAGCAAGCTCTCTCATTTCGTCTGTGACCAGCAATGCTTGAATTTTTGCCTTCAGTATGCCATCCTCATATAAACGCCACAAAGTTTCAAGCGTTGCAAGACTTTCTACTTGAACTTTGAGACACACACATCCATCGGAAATTTGTATCAAGTGAGCACCAGCGGGTAACACACAGGTGTTAACGGCAGCGACGAGCTGGTCATATGTGGAGTCACGAATCAAGAGCTCTAAGCTGGATGCCATTGTAAAGCCTCCCACTACCACTTTGAACACAGTCTTTATGTTCAGAACTAAAACACAAAGAACAAATCAACAATCAACCTCTTTAAGTTTTCAGATAGTATACGTAGAGCTATAGAGAAGAAAGGATGGATGCGCCAGGGTACATGATTTTTAATAAAGACAAAAATTGACTAGACTCTTTTGTCCAAACGCCGGGTATACTATTTGGGTAACATCACAAATTGAGACCTTCTCCATCCTACCACCGATCAATGTTACATGGTACTTTTGCTGCCTACAGGCCATCAAGGGGTGCAAAACTGCGAAAAAAACGCTCGAAGCGAACACTCAGCTTGTACGTTTTTTTTTTTTTTACCGCATTTCTTAATATTAAAAAATGCGAAAACATGATTGAAAATGCCTTTTCGGGAAACAAGTGTCAACTTCAGTGTTAGCTCCGATAAAACTACTGAGCTCCTGGTATCACCTGAAGGTCGTTTTCCGTGAGTCTATCTCTCCACCGTTATTCACAAGTGGCTCTTTTTAAACCATTTTTAACTCCTTTTTTTAAAAGTGTTTTTGTGATGGTTTTCGATATGCAAATGGGTCACTCGCTCAATTTGCGTTGACAGAGATCGGCTCTTCGGCTTCGACCCGAACTCACTGCACGATAAGACAACGACATAGTTCCCTTCGTAGTTGCCGAAGGGCTCCAGAGTTATGCATTCACTCGCGTATCCTCGTGAGAGAGCCCTGGGAATGAGGTTGCCACGCTCACGTTCGCTGCAAAGGCATCAACACTTTGATACACTCGCTGTCGATTTCTGGCATTTCTTTAGGTCGTGTATATGCGCAACAAGTATCTCGATCATATTACTGGCAATGGTGCAGTTTAAATTTCCAGTAACATGACAAAGGAAGAACGTTGCCGGTAAATCGCGCGTCTAGCGTGGTATAGCTTCAAACTTCGCAGTCTCCAGTACTGTGGAGACTCCAGTGGCGAGGAGCCGAGATATGGATTGAAGTCTGTTCCAAAAGGTCGCCTTCAAAGGGGTGTTATGTTAGAAACCAGCTAATTATGCCTAGGGATGGAAAAAAATCCAAGACGATAAGGCCTTTTCTCGACTGAAATTTCTGTACGTGTCAAGTATCATGGTCAACTCGAAAATTAAATTGAACACTGTTGTTTACAATATTATTGTTTCTTACTTGTTTTTCGCTGAAACGTTATTTGTCATTATTAGTGTCTACGTCTAAAGAGTGCTTACTTCTACTATATCCTGTAATTAAATACTCCTGTTATATTGTCACGATAGAAAAAGACTTCCCTTTCCTTACTGTCTGTGAAGAAAGGGAAAAAGACGGAATGTTATAAAACTAGAATTACGTGAATCGCAGAAACCTCGCGAGGCAGAGGTTAAAGTTGGAAGAGCCTCTGAAGCCCTGAAGCTTATTCTTTTCAACGGAGAGTGCATCCTGCATATTGACCCCAGCAGCAATCAGTCATTAACTCAAGAGCAAATCCTTCGCGACCATGAGGATATCTTCACTGGTCTTTTCATGCTACCTGGCACCTGTCACATAGGTACGTATGGATCCTAATGTCAAGAAAATCCAAGACGAGTTAAAGATAAGCTCAAAACCAAGATTGAAGAGCTTGAGACCATGGGTGTTATTGCCAAAGTTGCCAAGTCATCAGTAAAATGGTTGCAGTGAGAAAGTCGAGCAAACTTGGACCCTCTCCATCTGAATAAAGGCATTATCATACAGAAATCATTATCCAGTGCCCACTGTGGAGGATATTGCCCCTAAGCTAACTAACGCTGAAGTCTTCTCTGTTGTTGATGCCAAAGATAGATTTCTACAAGTTGTCTTAGACGATCCCTCTAGCTACTTAACAACATTCTGGACCTAATGTGGTCGTTTTACATGACCGCGAATGCCCTTTGGAATCAAATCTGCACCCGAGGAATTTCAAATAGGTATGCAAATGTTGCATTTACCACCTTTGCACAGATTTATTCCTGATTTTGCACAATTTTAATCACATTTGCGCTGAGCAAATTTGGCGCAAATTCATTTTTCGTCCAGCTAGATGTCCAAGCACTCCAACGACTGATTGGAGTAGTTACCTTCCTTTCCAAGTTCCTACCACAGCTCAGCAGCACTGTACGCGAACCCCTCCGGCATCTAACAGACAGCAACTCTAGGTTACCTCAACATGAAGATGCCTTCACCCGCATTACCTCGATGAAAAAAGAGATGACAGCCACACCCCTTCGTTCGCATTTAGGAATTCAGTACACAATGAGCTCTGCTAGAGATATCATGTATTGGCGCGAATGACCGCTGACTTCTGAAGCAGTTCAAAGATGTGACATCTGCCAGCAGACCAGAGCTGCCCTCCCAAAAGGGCCTTCGATGACCTTCCCGATTCCAAATCTGTCGTGGCAAATTGTTGCTAGTGATTGTTTTGAATGTGACGGCAGCCATTACCTGATCGTAGTTGACCTCTACTCAGATTACATAGAGATAAAACAACTGTAGTCTCTATCTTCATACCGTCCATGGAACCCATGTCACCCTGATCTCAGACAATGGTCCTAATTATGCCTCTGCTGAATTCAGTTATTTTGCTTATGACTAGGACATCCAACATGTCACATCAAGTCTCCATCACCCACAGGCAAATGGCAAGGCTGATTCTGCAGTCAAGATAATGAAGTCCATCATCAGCAAAGGCAACAAACAAAGAGCAGATTAATGGAAAACTATTCTATAATGGAGATATTCACATACCCCATCTCAATGAAGTTGCCTAGTCCAACGCATTATGTCACGTAGAACAAGATCGTTTTTACCGTGCAAGGATTCCCTGTACAAACCTGAAGTCCAGTCCACTGTAACCGAGCAAGCTATGCACAAGAGACAAATAGCCAATCTCTACCATAATTACATTGCCAAACAGCTACCTAGTCTAGTAATTGGACAACTCTTACGAGTTAAAGCACATACCTAGCATCCCCACAGCGACTGGAAGCTTGGTTGTTCTAGAGAATATTGCCCCTCACAGTTACCTGGTTGAAGTCAATGGACAGTGCACCAGTTCAAGAGCCTGGCGCAAGAAACCCGCCTGCTCCAAAAGCCGACCCACAGGTCCACTTGAGAACAGACCTACTAACAGAGATTAGAGATCAAAATACCACTAACCAAAACGGCCCCTACATCATTCACTCCTAGCACAGCTGAGACACTGCCAGCTAACAGCAATGTGATCCGGACCAAATCTGAGCGAATTGTCAAGTGTAAAAGCCTGCTAAAAGACTTTATTCAGTGAGAGATTTTAACAGGACTGATGTATTACATAGACTTTGTTTCACCCCTTGGTTTCTCCCTTTCAGTACAAGTTTCTTCCTTACCTAGTGATCAAAGGAACATTTGATTTGTTTTATTAAGCTGTTTTCGTTTTAGGTTTTTGTCCATTTGTAAATCCAAGGTATAGCTTTTTTCTTCTTTGGAAGGAAGATGTTATGCAATCACCAGTCTAAATGGCTCGTACGATCTTGAAAAGGTCTTGAATTTTAGTAGTTGTCTTGAAAAGTCGTTGACTTCGGTTAAGGTGCGTGAAAAGTACTTGATTTGTTTATAAGGTCTTGAAAAATCCTTGAAATTCACTTCCTTGTCATAAAACGTTTTTGTGCATGAACATTATCTTAATTCTGCTTCTTTATTTTAAATGCTGTTTCTGTACCTAAGATGCGTGAATTGCAATCGCTGTTGCGGAAAGTAATATTAAAAAATTAATCAACCATGACTGAAGAAGTAAAAATCGTAAATAACTCCATGACGTGTTTAGCCATGCATGAAGTGTTCAAAAGGGGGTTAAAGAGTGCCGATTTATTGAATATATCTTAGTCCTTTAAAACTGTGATTTGTACTTGAAAAATCCTTGAATAGGCTTGTACGAACCATGAGTCTACGTCACATCCTGGACATTAAAAACTACGTTGTTGTTCACCATGTGCTCCCCTAGCCCAGTTGTGAAAACATAATAATTAGGAATTATAGTTCTCGGTAATCTTTCCGCTTAAAGTGAATCGCATACAATTGCACTGATAGCCGGTGATCATATTTAGCTTAGAAATTTATCAAGGTGCTGAAATATACATCCTATACCTTTTATCAGTGGTTTTCCTTATAAAATGTGGCACAAAAAAGTTGGTTGCTTCCCGAACAGTTCGATTCTCTAATACTAGTAGTAGCCTGCCTAACAGGTAGTTATTTGGCAGGTTTTTTGATGTGTTTTCCTTTGTGGTTGAGATACATGCACACTGAGCGGCCCGAAAGATGTGGGAGAGGGCAAGAGGATTTTCTACACAATTATCCACGGGTTTCTATAAGTTACTTTGATTTTCATTTACGGCTATGAGCAGAGCCTTCCCTCTTTCTCAGAGAAAAGCCCTGGGGTCGAAGTTGCCGAGCCTTGTATTATCCAGTTACCAGGTATTTTTCAGGGTAAGCTAATATAACTTAAGACAACAGAAGATTGTAACCTCTCCTGCTTAGAATAATGATTTAAAGGGTGCTCTGACGTCTAAAAATCTATTTTTCATCAATTGAAATTACGTTTAAGCAGAATAAACAAATGGGCCAAGAAAGGGAGGGAATATGGATGAATTACAAACACTTGCACCAGTTTGCAGCCAGACTGGGCGGCTGCCATTGGTTTCTCAAACAAGTTTAAAGGACGCTAATAGCGATTCAGTAAAATAATTTCCAAAAACTTTAGACATAAGATATCTCAATTTACAATATGTTATTATAATATCAATTTAAAAGGCCCAGATAGCTCAAAATGCTGACAAGGGATTTCGCTTTCCTTACTTCTAGGTAATTAACTGAAGCAGAGATTCAAATTAAAGGTGGTGTTTGAAGGGACAATCCGAAGTCAGAGCATAGTAATGAAAACAACTTTTCCGTATTTTCTGGGACATTTTTTAGCCAACTGACACTGGGTTTGCGGGTTATACTCGCAATAGGGTTGACATGATCAGAATAGAGTTAGACGAACATTACTCTGCCTGCAGCTTCTCTGACTCTCGATCCGCTGGGATTACGCACCTGTAGACAAGGGTAAAGGAAGTTCTAGGAACGATTTATCACTTAGTCTCGTTATAATTCGGATCTCGTTTACATGCACTAATAGCCATTGGAAAGTAGTTTAAGGGTGAACCGGCATTGAAGAATTATGATGTAGAATTCTATTTAGAGAAGGGAACACCGGAGTAAACCAAGTTGCAAAGAGGGTCTATATACTGAAGGAGTGAAACTAAATATCTTACCTGCAGCCATTTTGTCGATAGCTGACGATGCTATGGCAGCTGCTTGCGCTAAAGTAAAATGCAATAATTTTGTTAGATCATAGGTTTAAATTCTAATCAGTTTTGTGTGGACTGTACCAGGAAAACAAAGTGGTTATAGGGAGGAAGAAACCAGCAAATTTGCAACAACGGACATCGGACATGGGCAAATACCTTTTCGTCGCTCAAACTTATTTTCACGTCTTTGTCGTTGCTCGAACTCCTCTACTTCCTTGAGCAGATCGGATTTTTCTGTCTGGGTCAAAATCTCCTTCATGATCCTAAGAGAGTCGATTCCGAGAAGGCCGTTGCTTTCTAGCTCCTTTAATAATGATCGAACATCATGGATGCTGGCTTGCCTTTCTTCCGTTATCTTCCCGCAGCAAATTGAGACGAGTCGTTCCAGATCGTTTATCTCGTCAAGTTCTCGTATAATCTGCTCGAGCAAGTTGTTGTATTCCGTCTTTTTGTATTCAAACTTTTCAACCTCTTCTAAAAAAGCCCATTCCTTGACGCCTTTTAACATGGCCTTCAATACCGATAGACGATCGGAACTCAGAAATCCTTTCTCTTCTAACTCTTCAAACAACGAAAACGTAGGGATGTTTTCTTCGCCACGGCGAGCCGCCAGTTTTCCTCTGCATATCACAAGTAATTGCTTGCCAACATTTATGTTGTCGAGTCTTTGGCTTATTTCGAACAGTAAATTGTTATATTCGTACTCAGACATTTCAAAACAACGACTACACCTTTTCCATCAAGTATTTCCGTTGTCCTCACATCCTTATCACAGTTATCGATCCGCGAGGTATTCTTAAAACAGACATGGTGGACATTTCAGACGCGGATGCGATGATTTGTCACGCGTGTTAATTATTAGTCACGGGAACATGCAGGGGCGGATCCAGAAAATTAAGAAAGGAGTGGCCGGGACAGTCATATTTAACAGCTCTAGCTATTCCAGATACTTTTTAGTTTTTTTAGACGAAATTTTATAAAAATAATACAAAATTTCAAGGGAAAAGGGGTGAACGGGACCCCCTTGGCCTAGCCCTAAATCTGCCCATGACATGCATTTGCATGTAATTGCGGACCTTTAAAATTCCTAATTTCTAACCGAGGGAGACTAGGTAAAACCAAATTTATTATGGGATTGCCAATATTAAGCCCCCAAAGACAAAAAGAGCGCACCAGGCTCTGCAAAATAATCAAGTTTGGTGTTTATCGGGCGAGCCGAGGTATCTTAAACCTCTCTGAATATAGCTGTATCTGGCAGTGCAATATTGTCCCTATAACCACCGAACTTGAGGATTTATGGGCGATGTTCTCTTTCTTACAGTGTCTTACGTCAAAATCTCATAATACATGGACTCATATTCAGTCCCCAACGGGTTGAAATTAGGCAAATGTTCTCTAAAAAATGGCCTGTTTTTCATTCAGTCTGCGTGACAGACGTTTTGCAGGGAATGAAAAACTGGAATCCTCGCGAGTTCCTTCTTCGCGTTCTCGGGTGACCATTCGCCCTTTCAAACGCCTGCCACGCAGGCTACTCTTTCGGTTGAATTTTCGGATACCTAGACTTTCAGCTAGGAAATCCCGCTAACAGATGAAACATTTTTAGGAGATAAAAAAATGCCTATAGCTACCGTTTAAATCGGCTACTACGTTTAATAATGCCATGTTTAAGTAGTTTTGAACTATATTCTCGTTGGGTGCCCCTGAATTTACAAGGATGTTGTTTGTAACTCGGAGCGTTTAGTTCCCGTCCTGTTCCCGTATAACAACCAAAGCCGAGTTTTAGACGACGGTTTCTTATCTGATCAATGGCCTCTCTCTTCCCTTCCAAGCTCCTGGCTTTAAAAGAATTTTCAATAGCCCCCTGCTTTTATGAACTAACAGAATGGAAAGAGATAGACAAAATGGTGGTCCTCAGTCCTCCGTCCCAGTCCTCATAAAACTACCAAGGTGGCTCCTACATGCCGCCTACCATTATGAACGCTCTTCAAGATAAAAATTTGAATCCTTTACTTGCAAAATGAACTGGTGTTACCCACTTATTGCACATGTGCCTCCCGGTAATAGGTGCTTCTTCGTTCGTTCGTAAAATATATGCTGGTCATGTCTCAGGCAGCCCGGACGTACTGTATGTCAATAGGGGTGTATTATAGATCAGCAAAAAGGAGGATCGGACAAACTGATCGGAGCTGGAGTAGACGATATTCGACTTTGAGAGTTTAATAAACAGCGAAAAATGCCGTTGAAAACTGAAGGGCAAAGAAATAGACAGTTTAAAAATATTCATTTGGAACTCTTGCCCCGGTCCCGGATAAATCTTTATCCACTGAATCAGCTGGATAGGGATTTATCCAGTGGATACAGATTAGGCCCTGGGCTACCTGTGGTCAAGGGAGTATATCCCACAATGCAATGCGGGTATTTTTACAACATGGCCGCGTGATGTACAAATACGTGTTACACGAAACAGCGCAGTGGCAGATGCTGCGGGTTTATTTGCCTCACCTGAAATGTTTTCAGCGGAGAAGCAGGTCATTATGCCAAGTTCATCATTACAACTCGTTTGTCACGAGGTTATGTTCATTGACTGATGAACATAAACTAAGCTCAACAGTTCTGAATTCAAGCTTGCGTGGGAGATACAAGCTTAAAAATACCGTTACGTCCCTTACTTTCATCCAGGCACGAACTTTTTACGCCTCGAGGCAGTTAAATGGTCATTTGTTGGAGATGTTGGAAGATCTGCAGAAGAAAAAGAGAGTGAAGTCCAAGCAAGATCAGCTCGTGAGTTCTTTCAACATTGTGCGACAAATACAGATGGAAACAGACCCCGATGAGTTGCTTGAGATATACAACGCCTTGAAGAACGAGACAAACGTTGATCATGAGAACTTAGCTGTTCTATCAGCTCAAGTGGCACTGTTCAATCGGTTCGCGTTTTTAGCGGCACGCCAGGACGGACACAGGCTCACCAGTGATGACCGTGTCGTGGCTGCCACAGGACACTTAGCCAATATTATCAGATGGAAGAGTAAGCTGTGTGAGCCAACTCATTTGGCAACTACTGTCCATGGTATTGCAACTCTTGGACTCAATGATATTTCATATTTTATTCACTTTGAAAGAGAAATCAAGAGTCGTGATCCTACTTTGTTCACAAATGCTGACCTTGCAATGATTCTCTGGGCTTATGGTAAAGCACAGTTCCGTGCAAGGCACCTTTACAAAATTATTAGGAATGAAATAATGGCGAGGGATTTGTCGACTTTTAAGGTCAAGGAAATCTGCCAATTTTTGTGGTCTTATGCACGGACACTGGAAAAAGGTGCCAAGCTTTTTGCAGTTTTGAGAGAAGAAATATTGAGACGTGATTTGACGGAATTTGAGGAAAGGTCACTAAGTATCATACTCTGGTCATTTTCAGAAGTTGGATTGAATGTGAAACCTCTTTTCAGGTGTATTAAGCAGGAGATTTTGCAGCGAGGGCTAGCGTGCTTCACTAATCAGCAACTTGCACAGATTGCCAGTTCATACGCACAACAAAATATACGATCTCCTGATCTGTTCCAAGAAATTTCTGCTGAGATCATTGAGCGTGGTGATCTGGACTTTGCACCGGTTGGGGTAGTCATGATTGCTAACAGTTTTGCCAAGACTAAAAATTACATCCGGGATCTCTTCAAACTCATTGAAAGCCATCTTATGACACAGGATTTGTCAGTGTACGAACCTCTGCAACTTGTAAGATTCCTCTGGGCATTTACCAATGCCTCTCTTATGACAGAGCCACTGTTTGACAAGTTAACAAAGGAAATTCTTCTGACTGATTTTTCAAGCTTGAATGACTTGGCTTTGGAGGAGCTGGTGAAGTCACTGGAAGGCAGTCATCTCAGAGCACCTGAACTTGTGGCCGCAACAGAAGCAGAACTTGTTAGGAGATCGGAGGCACCAGTATAATAGCTGACAACCTGTTAGCGACGTTGTATGGTAAACTGTCAGGTTTCTGCCACACCATGAAATAATAATGACCGGTCACAAGAGAAACAGTTAATTTTGAGATTGGAGGGAAACAAAACTAACAGTACTGTTTCCTGAGG